CAATTCAAAAGCTAGCAGCACAGGCCAGGTGAGCCAAGGAGCTCCTCAGTAGGGCCGCCAGGGGGAAAGTATAGAATATTTAACAGTACACCTCCCTTTTGAGCAGTTTTCTCTTAAATGAGAGCAAATGGAATTGGCCACATTTGCCCAGCAGCCGTGGACTGCAGGGTGTCCTGCTCAGTGTGTTTCCTCCTTTGGCAATAGAGCCTCAACCTTCCACCCACTTTTTCCAGATCTTTCCTCACACCTCATCACAACGTGTTCTTAGGTAAGCACATGATGAACCCAGTCAGATGTGATTCACAGGTATTTCCATTTTAACAGGAGACAAAGTTTTAAGCCAAAGGAATGAGTTTCTCATGATGGAATTGTGAGTCAGGAGGGCCTTAGAAATCACACTCCTCTGTAGACGGCCACCTACCGTGATCCTAGCTTTGCTTTTGGCCTCTCCACTTCTCTGGATAAGCTTCTACTCTCTCTTCTGTCCTCACTCCCCGAAGTCATTATATGTGAGGGTTTAAAAAATGCTTTCAACTGAAGAATCCCTGTTTCAAATGTATTTAACCCTAGGCTGTTCTGCTCTTGAACATCAGCTGCTTGTGGTCATCCAGGCCTAAACTCAGCACTGTCCTGCTATGATGATCTGTGGTTTTCCTTTGTTGGTTGGGTCTGTGAGTGACACCTGTCCTTGGGAAGCCTTTGGTGGCACAGTTCCATGAAGGGGTGACCTTTGTATGCCATGAGGCAGGCTCTGTCAACCATAGTTTTACATTTTACTCAGGAAATGTTAAAAAATATATAGATGCCCAGACTTTGTCCCCTGGAGGTTTTCATTCTATAGGCCTGGGGTGGGATCCTGGCATCCATGAGTTTTTTCTTTTAGACTTTTGATGCTCACCAGGAGTGAAATGCAGCACCAGAAAGGCCTGAATATGTGTAACCCGAAAGATGTCAATAAATCTATAGGCCAAGACTATAAAATGACAGGGCTGATTCCAGGAGAAACTGGCCCCACTGCTCAACCATTATGCTCTCATGTATTGAGCACAAAATACCACATAGAGGCCACCAGATAGATCAAAAGCAGAAGACATTCCCCTGCTCTGAAGAAACTTTCAATACAGCAGGAGAGAGAAAATAATTAAACTATGTGTTACTGATTATACATTCATGGCCATTCCAGAGAACGTTTTATCTTGGATAGGATTTGACATCAATGAATGGATAGGATTGGGGAAAGCCTGAGAGATAATACCCTGAAATGTTACCTCTGATGCTGTACAGACAGAACACAGGGCAAGGCAGCACTCTCAAAACCTAGGCAAAATCACCATTTCCTCTTTACCACTGAGAACTGATGGGTTTTTGTGGGTTTGTTTGTTTGTTTGTTTGTTTGTTTTTACTGAAGAAAATTCAATATGTGTGGGTCTCTTAAATTTTGGCTAACGAACTTGGAGAATTTATACTGAAGGAAGTCAACATCTAATTTAAAGATAGACTAAAAGCATGTTCCTAAAGTTCTCCCCTGCCGTCCAGGGGTGGGTGAGGAACAGGGTGAGGCACCAGAAAGCAGGTAATATTCTCTGCAGAAGGAGTGGACAGACCCACTAACAAACTTCTGTCTTGAGCTGTCCCCCAGGACATGCCAAACCAGGCAAGTTTTTTCAGTTTTCCATCCCCTGAGGCCACTAGAGAGAAGTTGGCATAGCTTTCAGCCAAGGCCCACATTTGGGAAGCTGGGTAATTCCTATGAATGGTCAAAGTGCTGGCTGTTCTGTCCACATCTTCACAGCTTTGGCCCAAGGTTCTCCTTAGGAGCTGTGCCACCCTTGAAGTTCAGGAGGCTATGACAATATTCCAGAGTAAATCATAATCAAGCTACATTTCTCCCAGGTGAGGATTGATGGGAGATTATGAACTAAAGAGCCCATTTCTTAAATATAACTGCTGGGGGCGGGGGGAGTAATGTTCAGCAATGATCTTAAAGGAACCATACCATGTTTAAACTTAAATGGACCTTAAAGGCAAGTCAACCCAAATTCCTCTTTTTAAAGATAAAGAAACTGAGAGCAAAAGAAATGATGAGCTATTCTAGATCTTTTTACTGCACTGAGACTACAATATAATAACAAACAAGCATTTAATTAAACTTCGGCTCAGAATCAGGATGACATCAGCTTATGAAATTTTTCTAGTCAATATCCCGCCCTCCCTCAGGCAGCCAGAGAAAGCTGACCACAATTTGATGTCTGGACTCCAGGCTAGCTTAGGAGAAACCAGCTGGCATCTGCACCACACTTTTTAAGGAAGAGCATGGTATGATGCAGAAAGCAGCAAACCTATGTGAGCTGAGGTCAGGTCTTGGCTTGTTGGTGCTTATCTCTATGACCTTGGGTAAATCTCTTAACTACTCTGGCCCTCTGTCTGCAAATTTGTAAAATGACAGGGTTGAACTAGGTTCTCTTGAAGGTCCCTTCCAGCTCTAGCATGGTATTTAATTTCATAGATGAGGTGATGGTGGTATTGGGGTGGGAGTACAGAAAACCATGAGTGGGCAGGATGTGGTGGAGAACCCAAGAGGGAGTTTCGCACGATCTTTCTTGCCCAGTGTAAGTTTCTACTCAATGTCCCTACTTTTCAGTTGTTTAGTTGAACACAAGATTGCAATTCCTTTATCCAAAAAGTGCCACCATTGACCAAAGAGCTGTGCCAGTAGTTTCGGTAGAAACAGCCCTTTTAAAGTTAAATAGTAAAAGAGGATCAGATGTCTCTCCATTCCCCCACTGTGTTTTACTGATTCTTATTGAAATAAGAGGGTGTGGGCTAAGAAGGAATGTATGCTCTGGATTTGGCAGCAGATGGTGGACAGAATGTGGAGTGGACTGGAAGAGACCAAGTCCTCATTAATCTTCTCACCCCCAACAGCAAAACCAAATAATAATGATAGCATCCATCCTTAGAGAGCTTTGCTGCTTCTCCAAACCAGTGCAAAAGGAGATGGCCTCTGCTCTGGTTTCCCATTCTGCCTCCTCCTTACTCTGGCCCTTCTTTGTGTAGGACAGGGACTATCGGCCTCCTTGGGTAGTACAATGCTGGTACTTTGAGGAGTCTCACTCAAGGATCGTACCAACTGGGAAGGGAAAATTAATTCAAGTTCTTTGAAGATTCTCATCTGAGAGCAACAGAAGACTCTCAGTAGGAGCTCTCAGTCTTCCCTCATGACTGAGAAATGATGAATTTATTGCACAAAGCAGACTTCTCTTTTCATTCCTGTATCCCAGGAAAAGTGGAGGTTTCTCCTGCCTCTGTTGAAGTCTCTGCCCCAAAGTTGGCACCTCAAAATATCCCTGTTGGGAGATGACCGTCTCTTTCTAGAATGTGACCTGTTTTTAAGTTCAGGGCTGGACTCTGGTAGCCACAGTACTGAGTAATTTGCTTTGCTCATTTCTAATTCTGGGCCCAGTTTTTACCATGCTTGGTTGTAACACTAGCAGTTCCATCCAGATGCCCCCTGTCCTTCTAAAGAGAAACAGATTTATATCACCTAGCCAAAAGCACTCCCTTTCAAAAGCCCTGTGTCACCAAGTTTCAGAACCCATGATGTTAATGTAGATTATAAAATATGTGGAATACCAAAGGAAGAGTCAAAACAATCGCTGGCTAACCCCCAGGGAATGTGCTTCCTAGCATGCACCAGGGAACAGAATCACCCATAAGAAACAATAGCAACGACTTTATATACACACTTTTTTTCTGCAGTATGCAAGGGCAGCAACCCTTTCCACATAGGGCATTTTCTAATGAGGAGTGATCACTGCAGCCCCCACTTGACTGCACTGAGGACTCCCCACTACCTGTTATTCATCCCTGGGTACCAATTAAACACTTCCCCAGCCACATTTGTCGGCCAAGCCTGGGGAATTGTGAAAGGTGGAGTTAAGTGAGGGAACAACACAGTCCTGTGAATAAAGTTGAATGGCAGGAGCTTCTATTTGTGCTGTTGCTAGAACAGTACCTATGGGACAGAAAGAAGGGGTAGTTGGCTTCTCATCAACTATGTGTAAGTTGAGGGCTTGATGATTTGCAAGCCAGCACCTTGAAGGAGCTCCAAATTTACCTATAAAAGTAGAATCTAAAACACATGCAGGGCCCCTTTGGGACTCTCCCTTTCCGCCTTGGCTTCCTTTCCCCATAAAGTTTTTGGACTCCCCAACAGAAGCTCCCCGTGTTCCCATCATCTTGTAATCCCAGAATTTGTCAGTCCTCAACTGACATCAGATTTGGAAGATTACTCCCTTCTGTCCTTTTGCTCTTCCTGGCACTCCAAGCCTTGCAACATCAATGGCTCACTTGCTTATGGAGAAATGAAGGCCCAGGGAAGGGGAAGGACAATCCTAAAAGCATGTGGTGAAACTAGATGGTGTAGCCAAAAGCAAGAGGTAGGGGTCTGGGCACTGGGCTTGCTGCCACCCCATCACCACACTTCCTCTGCTCCATGGTTATGGCTACACAGAACCAGACAAGGCCTGAGCCGTTCCAAACAGAACTTATGGTCAAACCTGTCAACAGTGTCTGTCTCCTTGGCAGGCTGGCAAAATGACAGGACCCTAGAAATGTTGATTTGTTTTTGTCTTCTCTGCTCTCTCCACCAGCTGCCAGGAAGAGAGGCCACAAGTACAGGCTAGACCAGAGCAAAACTGGAAAGCAGATGGCATTTTAAACTCATCTCTGTCCAGCATCACTTTCTCTGCTTCTGTTCCCCTAAACTGCCCAATGCCCACACAAGGTTGCATTCCAGCAGGGCCCTGGTTTGCTTTTGAATTGTCAAGGTCTACAAGAGAATACCCCTGGTATAAATAGTTGATAATGACTTAGAACATTTCTATTTCTATCAAAAAATTATTTGCAATTTTAAAGAGGCCTGCGCAGATTGTCCAGACTTGAAGAAAAAACCCTTGTAATTTATGAAACTGAGATAAGGCATTGTAAAGTCACTGTTTCAAAGTCATTGTATTAAAACCAGCCAATTCCTTAGAGGGAGACACCAACACCAAGTCTCCCTAAACTGTCTGTGCCCGTTCCTAGCTTTCCACTCAAAAGCTGTCACTCAACTGGTTCTTAGAATGTATCCCACTAGGAGCCATCTCAGACAAGATAACATTTTAATAAAGGTCATTTCTATAATAGTCTAGTCATAGTCCAGTAATTGCCTAAATGAGATCATGTCCATGACCTTTTCTTTGTTCCTCTAATACCCCATGAGAGCAAATAGTTGAAAAGACTCAAACAGCTCACTCACTGTGCCTCCCCAGACCCATCATCCACCAGGCCATCCATCATGGGCCAGGACACTCCAAATCCTCTTCAGTGAATTCTCCTCCTTCCCCACTATTGTATGGACAAGTCATTCTGGGAAAAGGAAGTTGGGCAAGAAACCTACGGAACAACTGAGCAGCTATAATTCTTTCCTTGCTTAAGAAACAAAAACCGGTTCAACGTTAATTTGCTAAACTGCTTTGGGAAAGAAGATAATCAAATGAGTAGAAATGCAATACATATTTAATTTCTACAGTGGCTTTCCCAGCAGCAAGAGAGAACACTTCCCATCATCCTAGAGCACTCAAAGGAAATCCTCTCCTAAAAATAAAAGGTGAGGAACCAGCGAATGAGCAAATGTTTTAACATGTAGTCCCTAGCAAAAGGAAGGAAGGAGCCCTTTACTTTGTGGGGCTATCAAGAGGGAGGTCATCTGAATGTTCTACATGGGACAAGTCAGGGAGGAGATGCCTGGCAGGGCATAGCAGCCTGATCCAGGCAAAGGAGGAAGGGAAAGTGCTGGCATTTCAACTCTGAGCTCCCAATAACTGAAGCACAATAGGAACTGGTAAAGCAGCAGCAATGAGGGTTCCAGGGAATAATGAAGCATGAAGCAAAATGACGGATAATAGAGATGGAATGATCCTGTTACCAAGACCAGGCTCACACACTGATTACAGCAGGGAAGGAATGCCAAGGCACTGAGCTGTGTTCTGGCCACAGGCCTCTGGACTAGGGATCAGAGGCCTTACAATCCAGCCCCAGCCTTATCCCTGAGCTACAGCATAAGCAAGAAGGGAAATTTTTATACCTGAGTCCCAACATCTCCCAAGTGGCAAAGTCTACAAGAGAATACTTCCTCCCCCAAATTCTCTGGAATTCCTAAAGTCACAGAAAGGAAGTTCTATGGGAAAGTTGCTTTCCTTTCTACCACACTCTTCCACCCCCAACCAAAATCTATAGTGCCTTTCCCAGCAGCAAGCTCCTGTGCTTTCTCTATGTACAATGGAAGGTGACCCAGAAATCCTCTGTACTTGATTTAGGGATACAGAGGCTCTGTCTTCTCTGTCATCAGATCCACCTTTTCGAGAAAAGCTTTCTCAGGCTAAAGACATCTTTTGTGGCACAGCACAAGGGTTCCATGAAAGAGGGCTCTGAAGAGGCAAGGCAGGTGGGGTAAGTCAGCCTCAGACGACATTAACCCTGCATGTTACACTAGTTCATACATTGCAAACGGAAAATTATTAAGTTCTTGGTGATCACCAATTGTTGTTGTTTTCCTAAGTATTATTTATTTATTGCAGTCCTTGCTTCAGGAAACAGAACTTGAAGAACAAAGGCTGCACAGAGAAAGCAACAGTGCCTAAACTAATGTACATGCATGGAAACTTACAGCTGATCCCTGAGCATCCAACCCAAACCAGATCTACATTATGCTTTGAAAACTCAGTTTTTAAATTACAGATCCTGTTCTTTACACCAGCAGAGAAAAACAACATAGCAGGTATGTTAATAATGTCTATGTGCATTTTTATGTTACATATACAAGCGTCAGAAGCTGAACACCAATATTATTGTTATTATGATGTCCACAATAATAGCTTAATAGTAAGGGTTTTTAATGTATAAGGTAAATCTGTTTAAAAGTTGTTGCCTTGAATATAGAATCATACAAGAGCACACTGTGTGTGTTTGTTATTTTTTCTTGACTCAGAGTCAACTGTTCCCTAGGTTTCTAGCCCAACTTCCTTTTCCCAGAATGATTTGTCCATTAACTATGGGGGAAGGAGGAGAATCCACTAGAGATTTTGATTACCCTGGTGGGTGATGGATGGCCTGGTGGATGACAGGCCTGCTTGGGGAAGCACAGTTTGTGTGTCCATGCTTAGGTTGCTTTAAGTAAATAGGAAAAGATTTATACAGGAAAAAGAAAGGAAAGAAAGAGGAGAAAATCTGGGGATGATACTACTCTTTCCAAAAACATTTATTTTTTACTTAAAAAAATAATTTTATAATGGCACTACCATTTAAAAAGTTAAATCATTTTTAAAATTTAGTTATAAAAAAGGACATTAACCTTTTCTAAAAGAATGCCTTACATAAAATGAAACACACACAAACACACACACACTCATTTACACACTAGACCAAAATTACTAAAACAATTAACTCTCAATTATCCAACATTATGAAAATAATCATGATGCAGATCATTTGAAAAATAACCACAAATTTTTTTTTAGGTTTTATATAATTTTATAATCTTCTAGGAAACAAACTGATATTACTAAATTAAAATTACATGAATGAATACTATAGTAATTCCAGTTGAGCCACAAAGAACAGAGCTCTGAAGGTGGCTCAGGCTTAGGAATAAGGGGGAAATTAACTTGGGAATAAAATATGGGTAAGGATCACTCACAAAACAAAGGTGGTATATCTAAAGAGTGGAGAACTGAGAGGACATTCTCTGATAGAAGGTGGCTTAGACAATCTGACCAACCAAGAACTGGGGAAAGTCTATGAGAAGACCTTACTCTGGAAATTACTGTTCTTCCTTCATGCTTTTGTCCTGCATTCAAATTCCTCACATGCCCATTGTGGCCCAGGCTGTGTGGCGAGTTAAAATTCCGTTAGTATAGTATGTGCCTCTGTCAGGTTAGGAGACACACAATTAGATGCTTACAACTCCAAGGTCTATGCACACTTTCAACTAGTCCAAGCTAACATAATGAGCTGAACATGACTGTTGCCTCCTAGAATCCACACCGTATCATTTCCTCAACTGTATGGGGAGGACCTGTGACTGGCTTCTAAGCACCTGAATATGTCAAATAAGACAATGTCCTTCTGATTATTTTGCCTAGACTGAAAGTTATCCTTGTTGAGAGATCCTCTCTCTTGATGGTTTTGAGGAAACACGCGGCCATGTGAGAGCTGGCCAAGGGAGATGGCTGTGTGACAAGGAACTGAGCACAGCCTCAGTGCCACCCCCAGCAGGAAACTGAGGCCCTCAGCCTTTCAGAACCAAGAACTAAAAACCCTGTGACTTTCCCCACTCAAGCCTTCAGATGAGAACCCAGTCCTGGCTGACATCTCACTGTAACCTTACACAGGATCCAGTTAAGGCTGGTCTAAAAATCTTGACCTCAGGAACTGCGAGTGTAAATGTGTGTTGGTTTAAGCTGACGAGTATGTAGTAGCAATAGACAACTAATACACACATAAACCAGGCTTTCAAAATTGTAGGTCCCCTTTCTGGCTTACCTGCACTTGTAGTAATCTCCAAGAGAGTGAAATATTTTTTCTCTGATTTTCTCTTATGAGAAGCAAAATTATTTCTTGTCTGAGCTAGGACCCAAATGGAGCTGGGTTAAAAATTCTATTTTTCTAATGACCCCAAGTCCCCTGGATTCTGCCCATAAAACTTCTCTAATCTAGAAATTCATTTCCTGAACTTTCCCCAAAGTCCCAAGTATGTTTTCAATTCCACCCTTTTCACCTACTTCATCAAAGATCACTAGCGTACCTGCATTACTTGGAGCCCACATCTACATTTCTTGGTTTCAGGGTTTCCTCAAAATAAATATGCCATTTACATAAACACATTTAAACTAGAGGTGCTCTTTATTTATCCCAAGGTCAGTTAAACCCTTGTTACCCCAATCCAAATACAGTGTGAGGGAGGGTGGCAGTGTTTCTTGGACAGCAGTAGACATGAGTATATTTCTGAAACAGTCTTCCATTCATATAATGAAAACTTTCTTTAATAAAAACAAATTACTTGAATTCTAGTCTTAGTTGTGCTAATCTCAAATAAGGTGAATTTGTGCACTTGAGTCTCAGTTTCCTCAATTGAAAAATGATTCCTGGCAACTGTAGGCACTTAGTAAACATTTTAAATGATGCATAGTCTATCTCTTTCTACACACACACACACACACACACACCATATAGAATGGTTTTACAAATCCATTTACTTTAAACTTTTCAGAAGCCTTTCTTTTTCTTAAAGTGAAATACAGCTATGTACATACAATGTGTGCACACACACACACACACACACACACACACACTCATTGTATTAGAACTAAATAATTGCATGAATCAATTATCCACAATGATAAAAAAGGATCAAAGCATGACTATATAAAGTGAGTGAGAAAGCATGAGAGTAAGAATGAGAGAGAGAAGAAAGAACTCAGTTTTCCATGTAGATATTCATTTAAAAAGATTAATATCACACTCAATTTTAAGTTAGAATACTTGGCTTTGATAAGCTATAGTTTAAGGTAAACCTCAGAACCCACTAAGTTTTATATTTATGAGTATCTATTACTTGTTTTCCATCTCAATCAGAATGTGTATTTACACTGAATAAGCTAATGAGGTATTTATACTTTATGTTTGCCTTGGACTTCAAGTAAGGTCAAAACATAAAAATTAAAAAAAAAAGAAAATGTGCATTTCCAGTGAGGTCATTCTACTTAGGCATTATATTGAAAAGTTGTCTTATTATTAAAGTTAGAACTTTTTAAAAAATCTTATCTGAAATATAAAAAGTAGAGAGAAAGGGGTTTCTTGACCTTTTCTGCCAGTTACCAACTTATTGCCTCTCAGTTCCAAATCCATCCTTCGTTGCCCAGAGATGGGCCATGCAAATGTTGCTTTTTCACCAGTTAATATCACATCATGTTTTCCAGGAGACATATCGTAACTGGAGAGACACTGCAGAAGAAAGGGCATCTCTTCTTGATTCCTATATGTTTTCCTCTCCTTGCTTCTGCCGCACTTGATGTCCAACAGAGCTTCAGTCCTTCACTCTTGGTGCTCGCCTCTTAACAAGTTTCAATGACATCTTACACTCCCATCAAGTCCCACCAGCACCCTAGCTGACTTTCCAGCAGGTCTCAAATGTACGCCAGGGAATGGCTCCTCAGAAAGTTTCATGTGCCCCAAAGGCAAGCTGTCCAGCAAGCAGCTTCCTCATGAGCTCTGATCAGCAGCACCCCACTGGGGGGTGTCATTCTCACCAGCCACAGCCTATGAAACTTCAGAGAACTTCCCTGCCACCCGAGGTGCCACCACCCACTCTCTCCATAGAGATCCTCCCACAGCCTCTTTGTTCCTTCCTTTGATACTCTTCCCTTGTCCCTAAAAGTAAGAGTTGCTTTATCTGCCGCTCTTCTATGAATTAGAGTTCTCCATACCCCTTAGTAGTTCATCCTCTGTTACTAGTTAATGGTTATTTATATTAAACTTTCCCTATTGTAGCTACTGTGCCCTGACTGGACCCAGACTGACTCAGAATAGAACCAGAAGTGATACTGGGAGACAGATTCACAAAGACAGGATCTGGGGACCAATTGGTTCTGACAATGCTCAGCTCCTTGCCAGTGGGAAATGGGATGCTAGCAATCCCTCAAGTGCAGCGGGATCATAACTACTGAGCTTTCACCTTTGGCTGATTATGACAAAGATCCAACTGGGAACACCAAGCAGCTGCTGGCCTTGACTGTAAGTGTTGCGCACACCACTGCCAAACACATCACAGCAGCAAAGGGGAAGACAGCACACCAAAACCACGAAGAGATGCTCCATCCTCCTGCCGTCTCTCCAGAACCCTCTACTGACAAAACTTAACATCATGCCAGCTGGCAAAGGGTCACTTCTGTTCTGGTGTTACAGAGGATGGCACCCAGACACAGCTTGAGGGCTGAGAAGCAACACATTCAAGGATCCCTGGCACATCTTGTAAAGGGGGGATGGTAAAAGGTAATGATGGGGTATTAGAACGTACTACAAATTCCACATCTCATTCTCAGTTAATCTCACATGAATACTATGAAATAATTTCTCCCTGGTTGCCGCTTACATACCAATACTACAAAAAAAAAATAAGAAGAAAACTCTTATCAATAGCAAAAACTAAGACTGACAGGTGGAATCTGTGAGGATTTCCTCCTGATTTTAAAATGTATGGAAGCTGAATTGAGAAACATCATTGGAAGCCCAAGCATGGATTTTTTTTTCTGAAGAAAAAGCAAATAAGGAATGGGGCCACACTCAAAGAAGAGAGGGAAATGGGAAGTTCTTTCTTCATTCCTTGGCCCAGGTAAAGACCAGAAAACTGGACACTGACCTTCAAGGGTCACAGATCTGCTCTGCATCCATCAGTCCTCATCAGTACTGCCCTCTCTTTACTATTTCAAAACTTCAGGTCAGGGAATATAGCAATTTTGGTCAGGTGGAATGGAAGAAGGGAGCAGGGAGAATTGGCAAATGCCATTGGACCCTGAGACATAAATGTCCCAAAGAGAAAAATGCTAGAGTCCTAAAGAATACCAGAGGCTTGAGGTCATGAGATAAATTTTCAGAATAAGATCTTGGAGCAGTTTTATACAGTGAAATCCTACTGTCATTGTAAAAAATTCCATGAAGCAATGTGCCCTGGGCTCACTGGCAGTCAAGAAAAGGAAAGGTTAAAAATAAAAGAAAGGCAAATATTTATCAAACAAATGGAAATCAGGGATGGAAATTTTAATCCCAGATGAAGTAGAATACAAAGACAAAAGCATTTCAAGGGGCAAAAGGATTGGCAAGAGGTTTGATCCTAATAAAGACGAAACAGTCATGGACAGTTATATACCTAATTATTCCACATCAAAGTATAAAAAGCCAGTACTGCTTAAAATACAAGGAAAACGTGAAAGAAGCACACTTGTTTGGAAGGTTACAGTACAATTCCAACCTTTTCTAGAGCAGGTAGAAAGAAAAATCAATAGGAGGGAAAGTGCAAATACTGAAAAGAGATGCATAGTCAGAAGTTTCAACCACTGTCATGAGACCACACCCTGGGAAAGGAGATAATGTTCTTCAGAAGAGTCAACACAGGATCTGGTGGATACACCATTAGTTAGGGTCAGAGAAGTTACAATCAATGTTTCCACTGGGTTCATGTGACTGGAAGAACAATTCTGTCATAGCAGATACCACATGCCCATCAGTGATTCTCTACTATTAGTGAATTCTTCTGGACTTGACCTTGTGAATTTCCAAAGTAGATAATCAGAGTTCTGATTAGCTACACGCAAATGCACTCAAAGGCAAATTAACCTATTAGTGTGTGGGTTATATTTCGAACACACTCTCCCACTGCATTGATCAAAAAGATGATTCCCACTTTCCAAAGTCATCAACACAGTCCTGGATTGGTTGGGGATCTACCTGATACTCTAACTCAGTGGTTCTCAACCTTCTGGCCCTTTAAAACAGTTCCTCATGTTGTGACCCCCAACCATAAAATTATTTTCGTTGCTACTTCAAAACTGTAATTTTGCTACTTTTATGAATCGTAATGTAAATATCTGATATGCAGGATGGTCTTAGGCGACCCCTGTGAAAGGGTCGTTCGACCGCCAAAGGGGTCGCGACCCACAGGTTGAGAACCGCTGCTCTAACTCATGGGAAGTTATGGCATATCATGTAGGTCCTTTCCCTAAAGTGGCTAGAGCTGGAAACAGCTAGAAAGTAAGAATGACTTGAGATCTTATTGAGCACTTATGGCCAAAACCTGGAGCACTAAACTTGGTTTTCATTAAAAGGGTTCATTATCAGTACGCTAAGCCCAAAGGGTCATAAACTGTGTAGCTGTCAAAGCAGAATGGGAAACAAGATGAAGATAGAGTTCAAAGCCAATGGGTCCAAGCCAAGGATTGTGAATGTCACTGGAGAGCCAGACATGGGTTTACTGGCCTCCACTGAGGCTCTGTGGGCCAGTCAGGCTGGTATCAAGATGCATGTGGTAGGACAGACAGGCCATTGGTCATTACTTGTTAAAAGCAAAATGGCTAACACATCTACTGCCAGGCCTCTGTCAACTCTCCCTTGCCCATTTTAGTATTAATGGAATTCAGGTCGTAAGGGGTAAGAAGGAGGAAGCCAGGAATCCCTCTCACTGTGCCCAGAATTTGAGGGTTTCATATTATGGTCTATCTACATCTACAATTGTGATTGATACAAAGATGCAGAAAGACTTCTTCTAATCTTTCAGAGTATGGAGGGATACCGATTTTAAATCTGTTCCAAAAGCAAATATATGGGATCTATTCAGTTCCCTGTGTATCAAAATTTACTATATTGCACTGATTTGCTGGCGGAGAAGGAAAAGCCAATTTGCATGGTTCCTGTCAGTCAGATGTGGTTTGGAATTGCTTATGCATTCCAGATACACTCTATGTATACTGGAGAGTCGTATCTTGTTTCTGCTGGTTTGCATGCATGCATAGGAAACTTGTTTTTCCCCCAGTGCCAAGTGAAAATAGGTGAAGAACTAGCAGCAGTGCAGCAATAATCTCTGGTAATCAACTTCTTTATCAAAACGTCATAGCTGCAATAGTGAGAATCCCCATCTCTTGAGTCTACTGAGGCTGTGACTTCTACTTTTCTGGCTTGCTTGTTCAGTTCTCTTCCATGGAGCATTGAGAGATAAAGTCTGTAACTGTCACTCAACACAGTTTCTGATCCCTACTATGTGCCAGGCCTTCTGCTAGGTACTGAGAGATACTTAGCAGAATCCCCACTGCAGGCTGCTCAGAGTTTAGTGGGAACAAACAGCAAGTAAATAGTTACCACCCAGTGTGATAGATGCTTTTGTAGAGTGTGGGTTGTGTCCGAGACCCTCTGGAGGCAGGGAGGGAGTCTGCCAAAACTCCACCAAAGAAGGTGAATCCTGATTGTGAAGCATGAGTTGAAGTGGACAGGGACTGGAAGGCATTCAAGAAAGTAGGAACACTATGTGCAAAGACATGAAGCTCATCAAGAACACATGTTTCAAGGACCTGAAAAGATTCTGTATGACTTGAGGCCAGAGGTAGAGCCAGTGGAGAAAATAATTTGAAAACACATGAGAAAGAGGCAATAATTCTAGTAAGCAATGTTATTTTAATAGTCTACATTCTTGTGTTAATATGTGATGATGTTTGTTCACTAAGAAGACTTAGGAGTTGCAGATAACTAGCTAATGTTCCAGTGTGCATTACCCTGACTTACTGTTTCTCTCTCCCCAGCACTTGCAATAATACCTGGCACAGAGTTCGCACTTAACAAATGTAAGCCACCACTATTACTGCATGGGGTAGATAGCCTCTAAGGTGGCCCCTAATGATCCATGCCCTGATGCAAATCTCTCCCCTTGAGCATGAGCTGGACTTATTGACACATTACTAAGGAATAAATAATACCAGACATAACGGTATTCACTTCCAACATGATATTATAAAAGGACTGTGGCATACTTCTGGACAGTTGCATGTACTCAAATGCTCTTGTTCTCTTTGTCACTTGGATCATTAGTTGCCATGTCATAAGGACACTCAGGCAGCTTATGGAGGAGCCCACACAGCAAGGAGCAGAGCAACGCCTTCGTGAGCATGCCCACTGTCAGCACCTGGGTGAGTGAGCTTGGATGCCAATCTCCTGGGGTCTGCCAACAGCCACAGGAGTGAGCTCGGAAGTGAATTCTCCAGCTCCACCCAAGCCTTGGCCAACAGCTGGATGGAAACTTCATAAGAGACTCTGAGCCAGAGGCACCCAGCTGATGTGCATCGATATTCCTGGCCCACACAAATTGTGATAAGCCACTACATTTTGGTATAATTTGCTACAGGACAGAAGATAATTAATATATTATTCTAGTGACATCTACTCTTAGTCCATACTATGGTTGGGTTTCTTGTATACCTAGGTTGGGTATGGTGGTATCAGACTTTCTCCTTGGTGATGGAGCATGGCCTGGAAACCAAGCTTTTGTGACTGTAGTCCCAATTGCCTAGGGGACCACACTCCTTGAGGGACTGAACCTGTTACCTAGTGTCCCACCCAACTGATCAGACCATTCATAGAATGAGTCCAGCCCAACTACAGCAAAGATTACTGTGTTTGGTGTGCTCCCCCATCAGGGCCAATCTGGGCACAGCAACACTACGGATTAGAGTCCCTCCACTACCTTTGGCTAAAGTCCAAGAAAGGTCTATCTATATGATGACAAACACAGATGTCCTCAAAAAGACACATGTAGCTAACATATTCTTGCTTTCCATATGTAACTCTACTTGATTATATCACACGCCTTGGAAACTGTTAGCCTTGTTAAATACACTGTTCAGGTGGGAGCAAGTGAGAAAGCATAGATTGCTTAGGGAACACTGGGTTTTTGGCCACAAATTTTTGGCAGTTTATATAACAAGATTAATTTAAAGGCAGTGGTTTTATACATAAAAAAATATTTTAAGACCTTGTAAAGATGTTAAATATTTACATAAAATATTATGCTCAGTAAAGAAATGAAAAACAAAATATAAAACCCAAATGGGCCTTCTACCAATGGTTCTTTGCTTACTTCTTATGTCTTTTTAGCAGTTCTTAGCCCCTTTTTATAGTTAGTGATTAAGCACCCACTGCATACACAATGCTACGTATGGAACTGATAGCATCTCATCACAGCTACGTGGAAAAGAAAGGAAGAAAGGAAGGAAGAGGACTTTGTACCTCTGTCCCTGATGATTTTGCCCCTCATGCTCTGGGACGCAGTCATTAGGAAGTGAAGGATTCAGGTGGGAGGCTGTCCTGAGAGCCACTGCTGAGATGCCTACGAATGGGGATGAGAAATTCAGCAGCACAGAGGCGGTAAGGTGGGAGAGGACATTCGGGTGAAGGGTCACATTGACAACCAGTGGGTTGTGTTGGCATGACAGTTCATAGATTCCTGGAGAGAAATAAGGACATAAATCATATGTTAAGCCATTCAGGTAGCTCAGCGATTTTTAACCGGTGTATTGCAAGAATTTTTAAACCATGCAATACCTGACTATTTAGTCAGAGGCACTGACCTCTTGTCTCTCAGATTGTCAAATGAAAAAAAATGACAACAGCCAACACAGTAGCCATCCAGTGCGGATGAATCTAAATTATACCTTTTTTTGGGTCATATTGGCAAAAAAAAAGTTGGTTTTTTTTTGGTGTGCCATGAGATGAAAAAGGTTGAAAATCATTAATGTAGCACCATTTTTTTCATATCTAGTATTCATTTTAACCTCTCAATAGCTGTGTAACATGCGCAAGGTCCCAAACAATATCAGAGGCAGATATGGAGCGGACTCCTGGTCTATGGATTGTCCTCTAGTAGCCCTATTGTCAGACTCACCAAGAGAGTGGTTGTTTCCACTGATATCAGTCAGGTGGACGGTCACTGTGGGCCGCAGACGTTTCCCAGATACCAGGCCATCAGACGTCAAGAAAATAAAAATTGTTGTGGCCACTCCTGGTCTACTGAAACACACCTAGGCATAAGCACAGATATGTGTGAGCCATTATCTCCATTGGTCTATCAAAACACATTAAGTAAGAGCTCCCTTCTCCCTTACAAATGAGAAGAATGTGGAGTAGGCACACAAAGATGTCCAAAGTCACAGCAAAAGTTAAATAAAATTAGATGGAAAGAAGATAACTGTCAGCTACTGAGCTTCCCATCTTTTTCTGGGACTTCTGGCCTCAACTGTTTCTTTTTTGCTTCAACCAGTCTTTCTTTAAATGCCTCAGAAACATCATTTAAAGAGACAATAAGGCACCACAGGACCAGCCAATACCTCCTTGTTTCCACAGTGAGAGTGGTGGACAAAGACGGTCACTGAGCTAATGTTTTGCTCTGAACCAGCCCAGCTAATTATTCTTCCCCACCTCCCCATCTTCTCCTAACATTTTTATCAGAACCTCCCAAATGTTTTGCTCTGAACCAGCCCAGCTAATTATTCTTCTCCTAACATTTTTATCAGAACCTTCCTCTTAGTACATGAACTCTGACATGGGGGAGAGGTTATTGCGGAGTCTGTTGTGTGTGATATTAGAAGCTGCCAAACTGTTTATTCTTATGTGGGTCTCCTGGTGCGCCAAGTATGTATGTCCTATCCTTGGCTGGAAAATAAGCCAACACTGAGGCACAGAAAAACCTAGTTATTTATAAAGAATATGCCTCCATGGTTAGGCTGATTAACAATCAAATAGTCTTTCAGAGTGAACTATGGAAGTCTTATCCCTGGAAATCCTTTAATATGAAAGAAAACATCATAGAATTGGGGATGACCCGGAGAGCTGCTTTTTTACACTGAAATCATTTGAGGTGGTAATTTTAATTTCCTATAGCTTAACATTATTCTTTTTTTCCTGATTTTCACAGGGGAGCTTTTATTTTTCTATATAGGACTTTATTTATTTACCCTTTGGATTACATACATATTCCAGATATTTGTTTACTGATTGCAGAATGATTTTAGTCTATAGAAGGACAATTAAATACCCTTTTATATAGCAAATAAAGTAGGGACATACTAGGAAACCATAAGTGGATTTGACTCTCTTTTTCTTCTTTTTTATTATTGAATTTATTGGAGTGACAATGGTTAATAAAATTACATAGATTTCAGTGGTACAACATTATAGTACATCATCTATATATTGTTATGGTATGTTCAACATTGCTCTTAATTTCTGTTGAGAAGGAATTCCCACCTTCCCTGGTGTTATCTGGGAGTTACATTGTTAGAACCTGTGTACATTTCTAGCTTTTTTTCAGGTTCTGAGGGTGATGAAGCCCAGGAAAACTGTCCTTGGAGTAAAAGTGAGGTCCATGTGGAATGGCAGGGACCTCCTCTCAAAAGTAAATCATGTTTTCCATTTTCACGAGAATTCTTCCTTGTCCGCAGACTAAATTTCCCCAAGTCTTGGTGGTGTGTTTATAGTGTTCATTTGCACTGCTGGCTTAATTAGGGGGATTTTATGATTTGCAGTGGTCGATGGAGCACAAGTCTCCCTTCTTCCTCTCCTCCTTTGAGGGAAAGACCAGCAACACTCTCTTTTTACAGTGTCTTTCCCCCCTTTTTCATTTCCCTTCTTTGACGTAATAAATATTCCTTTACAACTTAAGAAATATCCAGACCCATAGATTATGGCTTGCAATATGAGGTCCTTTGTCCCTGGCTGGATGAGGGCTAGACATGAAACACACGGTAAGGTAACCAACAGCCACACTTCTCGCAAAGCCCTCAACTCCAGCAGCAGAGGACATCAAAGTCC